TACAATAAAAAGTTTGGTAAGTCCCATGATTTAAAACAAACCAAAACCAAACCCAGAGATCTGAAGACTGGTGGAAATTATCTCAATTCTTTTTCTAGCACATCTGATTTCTTATTCTAGAATACAGGAGTGGGTGGAGTTGGGTTGGGGGAGGAAGAAGTATTCCGGGCAGAGGGAAATGCTCCACGGAACATCACCAGTTCAGGGAACTGGAAGGAAGTCAGGCTGTCTAGGTGTACAGTGGGGGTTGGGATGCAGAGACTGGCAGCCACCGGGTCATAAGGCATTTCTAGACCACTGTTTTTCAAACAACAGTCATGACATCAACCTAGTAAGTTATAATCAACAGTTTTTAATGTAATAGAATAAAATATATTGGAGTGTACTGCACATAGTAAAGGCAAGTTTTGCTTCTCGAAAACAACTTCCGTTCAAGAGTATGGGTACACGCATGTTCCAGGTCACAGTATAAAAGATATTTTTTACTACGGTCATGGTCAAAATGTTTGAAAGTCAGTGCTTCTGCCACACTGAGGAGTGAACTTTAGCCTAGAGGCAAACCATTTCGGGGGCAAAGCACTGAAAAGTTTAAGCTAGAAAATGCTATGACCAGATGTGTGTGTGTGCGTGTGTGTGTGTGTGTGTGTGTGTGTGCGTTGTTTTTACATGTCTGTTTTAGAAAGAGTCCTCAGGCAGCATGTGGAGGATGGACCAGGGAGGGACAGGATGGGAGCCATTAGTTGGCTATTTCTCATCTGGGCAAGAAGCCCTACGGAAGTGGTCACAGGAAAGGAAGGCTGAATGGACAGAATTTGGTAACTGATCAGCTGTGACAGTGGTGAGAGAAGGGGAGGAATCAGGCTAGTTTCTGCCTTGCTCGGGTGGCAACACCCACCATTCACTAAGATAGGCAACCAAGGATAGGGAGGGGGGAGTTCAAGTCAGGTTTGAAATGTTTCTATTGATGTGAACTCAAGATGTAAAAGTGAAGTTGATCAGTAGCAATGGGCAGGATAGGTCACCCTTCCAGCCCAGAGGAGAGGTCTGGGCGGGAGAGCTGACTGGGCGTTAACAGGGGGTGGAACATCACCGTCCTCCCCGAAGCCACGGCAGTTAAGATGGCTCAGAAAGATGGTAGAAAGAAGAAAAGACTTAAAGGATGAACAGAGGAAGAGAAATCTGGCACAGATGAGGGCAAAGGTGAATCCAGAGAGACGGGGAAACAAGAGAAGGCGGCGTCTGAGAAGCAGTGAGAAAAACGTGTTTCAGAAAGTAGGGAGTGATTCAAGGATAAGAAAACACACAACCTTCTTTAAAAATGGGCCAAACACTTGGACAGACAAGTCACCAAAGACGACAGATGGCAAATACGCATTATGAAAAGACGTTCATCATCATACATCATCAGGGAATTGCAAATTAAAATCACAGGCAACCACTACGCATCTGTCCGTTAACGCGGCAAAACTCCAGAGCACGGACAGCACAGCCTGCTGGGCATGTGGAGCCAAGGGGACGCTCACTCACCAGGGTGGGATGCAAAATGCAGCAGCTACCCTGGAAGGCGGCTTGGCGGTTTCTTAAAAAACTAAACATATTCCTCCTTTCTATCCGGCAATCACACTTCCTCCTATCTGCCCAAAGAGTTGAAAGCTTCGGTCCACACCAGAACCTGCACACGAAGTTTACGCAGTTCTATTCATCGCTGCCCAAACATGGAAACAACCATGATGCCTGGCAAGTAAACGGATAAACAGGGTAAATCCACAGAAAGAATGTTATTTGGCATTAAAAAGAAAAGGTGATCAAGCCCTGAAAAGCCAGAGAGGAACCCTATGTACGTATTCCTGCGTGAAAGACCACATACTGTGGGATTCCAACTACTATACATGACATTCTAGAAAAGGCAAACCGAGGGAGACAGTAAAATGATCAGTGGTTACCAGAGGTTGGGGAGGGGGCCAAAAGGCACAGAGGATTCTTCGGGCAGTAAAACTGCTCTGTATGAGAGTGTAATGGTGGCTACCTGTCAGCATATGTTTGTGCAAATCCACACAGTGGACACCACAGGTGAGCACTGATGTAAACTACGGACTTTGGATGATAATCTGATGCAGTGTTGATGTAGGATGACTGACTGTGACAGATGTGCTACGTTGGTGCAGGAAGGATACCGATTGTGGGGAAGGCTGCGAGGGGACATGGGTATATGGGAACTGGCTGCACTTTCTGTTCGCTTTTGCTGTGAACCTAAAAGTGCCCTAAAAAATAAAGTTTATCTTTAAAAAAGAAAGAACGTAAGTCTGCTGTGCAGACATGCAGATAAGGACCGAGGACACCCAGCGGAATATGATGGGATCACGGATGACTGGCCAGAGCATGCTGCTGGACCCCGTCTCTGCTGCCTTTTATAGTAAAATTGGGAAAAGCTTTGTCTACTTCTTTTCGCCATTTGCCCTCCGTTCCTTTTCTGTTGTAGCCACATGAATTAGGTTTGTGTTCCCGCCCCTCCACGGAAACTGTCCCCCAATGAATGCCGGTGCTGATCTCCACCTTCCCAAATCCAATGTTCCACTCCCGCTCTTCTCTCACCCGTCAGCAGCACCTGGCAGAGTTCCTCCTTCCCTCCTTGAAACATATTCTTCCTTTTTTCTAGGACAGCAGCCCCTCTGGCTTACCTCGCTGGTGATTCCCATGCCGATCCCTTTTCATCTTCCTGATCTCGGACCATTAGAATGGTCCGGAGATGAGCCCCTGGGCCCCTTCTCTATAATCACTACCTACAAAGTGATCCCGTCTCATAGCTGTAAATATTACCAATACACCGATGATTCACAAATGGACATCCCTGGTCCACGACTTTCGGCTAAGCTACACAACCCTATATTCAACTGCCTACACCAGATCTCAGCCTACAGGAGTAACGTGTGTCTCAGACGACATGATCTAAAACATCTTGCCAAAATTCAGTATCCTTCCCTAGTTATCCTCGTCTCAGTCAGCAGTAAGCCCATCCCTTCAGCTGCTCAAGCCACTTTAGTGACTCCTTCCACGTCAAATCCAGCATGAATGCTCTTGGAACCAGACCGGCTAGGTTCAAATTCTAGTTTAGCCACTTTGTAGCTATGCTATCTTGGGAAAATCGCTAACCACGTCCTGGCTTCAGTTTTATCACTTGTAACATGGGGGTGACAGACTTATGTATCTCACAGGGTTGCTGTAATAACGAAATGAGTCAGTGTTTATAAACTGCTTTGAACGGTGCCTGCCACACAGCGTGGAGTATCTCTCCAATCTGACCACTTCTCACCGTCTCCACCTCCACACACAGTCTGGGAACAAGCCACCAGTATCTCCTGTTTGGATGACTGCAGAAGTCTCCCTTCCTTTAGCCCCTAACCCTTTTAACCAGCAGAGCAGCCAAAATGATTAAAAAACAAAACAAAACAAAGAACAATCACAGTCACACGCTTTGGACTCATTTTGTGTGTTTGAAAATTTTGATAATAAAAGTTAGGAAAGGGGCGCCTGGGTGGCTCAGTGGTTAAAGCCTCTGCATTCGGCTCAGGTCATGATCCCAGGGTCCTGGGATCGAGCCTCACATCGGGCTCTCTGCTCGGCAGGGAGCCTGCCTCTTCCTCCTCTCTCTCTCTGCCTGCCTCTCTGCCTACTTGTGCTCTGTCAAATAAATAAAAATCTTAAAAAAAAATAAAAATAAAAAAAAAGTTAGGAAAAAACCAAAGTCAGATTGTATCATTCTTCTGTCAATACCATCTGATCCTTTGTATTTGGTTCCAAGTAAAAACTCAGGTCCTTCCATTGACTAGGCCCTAAAAGCACGTTCTCTCTCGCCTCTGTGACCTCATCGCTCTTGTCCCTGTCACTCCTTTCAAGCGCAGAGGGCCGGGCCTGATTCTTGGAACACTGCAGCACGCTCCCTCACAGGGGCCTCTGCCCTGGCTGCTCCCCCTGGCTGGAAAGCTCGCCCTCAGGCTGCCTGGCTCATTCCCTCACCTCCTCTACCTTTTCAAATAACCTCCTGCCCACCAGCCCTAACCCCCTTCTCTATTTTATTTTTCTCACAGCACTTACCATTATCAGACACGCATAATCAAACACGCTAAAGACATAATCAGACTTAAAGTGAAATCTAGAAAAAGTTTCCCCTATTTACTCTAAAAGGCAGTTCCCGTGTGCTTATACTATGTCGCCAACATGGGTCATACACTCCGTGCGTCGTTCCTTAAACCTGAAAACATGTCGAGGCAGAACAAACTAGACTGCTTCCAGCACGGTCTCTGGGCTGTTCCTTTCTCACAGCAATGGTGAGGAAACACTGTAGGTTCTGGGTAGCTGGTGTCTAGAGGGTTACAGCTTTCCAAGGGTTACTGACCGCCCTACCACCCACTCATCTGAAAACCACTTTTTTATTTGAGTCTGGGGGATACATGTCATGGAAGTGGGAAATGTGGTGGCAAGATTGAGAAGCAAAGCCTGCTCCATCCTGGGCATTGATGGCCACAGTTCGGCAGGGCCCCCATAATTGGAAATATTACCGTGAAAAAGAGTGGGAGTGGGGTGAAGGGCAGGGGTGAAGCAGGAATGTTTGTTGCCTTGCGACTACGTGATGGGCCTGTCGACTCTTTTCACAGACGACTTAGTTTAGTTTTCAGAGTAACGTCCTCACCCAACTGCCAGCCGCTTACAGATGAGGAAACCAAAGCTCAGGCAGACTTAGCAGTCAGCCAGCCACGCGACATGAGCAGCTGTAGGCGGCACCAGGGCCAAACTCAGGCCGCCTCAGGCAGGGCCACTGGATGCCACAGGCTATACGCCATGTTCCCAGAGAGCCCTGCTTCCGGAGGCGCTGGTTCAGCACACTGGCGCTAAGAAAGGTTGTTGAATGGGCCGTTCATACTCTGTCACCCAATTCCTGCGAGGACTCAGCATGTCTAACTCTCTGTGACCCCGTCCCTGCTACGTGCTGGTAACTCCCTTACCTGTAGACATAAAAAATGGGATGCGGAACTTTCCACTCAACACCCGGGCCCGCAGATTCTGCAGTGTGCTCCCATCAAATGGCAGGGCACCACACACAAGCACATAGAGGACGACTCCAAGGCTCTGCATCCCAAACAGAGAGTACACACAATTAATTGCAGCAGAGGAAACAGAAGAGGCCATTATAGTATGTGTATGGAGACGGTGGTGAGTCATGCACAAGATAATGGAACAAACTCTTTTTTCTTTCTTTGTAAGAAATAATATGAGGCATTGTCAAGGCCAATCATCTTTTGGATAGTTAACATTCTTCTTTGCGTCCAGACATTAATTTTGGGTAACATATCTAGAATTTCTCCCCGCACTCATCCTCGAGGGAGAAGGCAAGTGGCAACGACAGAAAGAATCTCTGTTCTTGGCAAGGGCACCCACCCAAGCTTGCTCTTGGGCTTTTTTTTTTTTTTTTTTTTTTTTTTTCAGATGCAAAAGGGGGAGTTTGACATTTGTGGCTCAGTCCATAAGACAAGAGCTGGAGGAAAGACTGCGCAAGGAACTGGGAACTCAAAGCACAGGGGTCGAGGTCTCGATATGTGTGCAGGCTTCGCGGTCCCCCAGGGTGACGGCGGCTGTTCCCAGTGAAGGAGAACCACCAGCCGGGGGGCTCGGGGAGGACAGTACATACCCAGATGTCCACTTTGGGCCCGTCATACTCCTTTCCCTCAAAGAGCTCGGGCGCCGCGTAGGGAGGGCTGCCGCACCACGTCTTCAGCAGCTGCCCGGGAGTGAACAGGTTACTGAAGCCAAAATCTAGAAAGACACATGGACACAACTCACGTTACTAGCTTCTAGTCACCGAATAAAGGCACGTTGAATGTGAGGATCCAATGGGAAGAGGGACCATTTAGAAATCCTCCAACTAGCCACTGGAACTCGACACACTGGTGAGAGGGAGCTGCAGACGCCGAAGACCCCGGTTAGCTGAAGGACGTGCGACAGGCCTGTGTGAGCAGAACCAGAGCGCTGCCCTCAGAAAGCTGCACGGAGGCGGCCAAGGCGCCTACTGCCTTCAGAACAAAGGTGACATCGGGAAGTGACGGATGTTAAGGCTGCGTCAGAATCAGTGACACCTGTAAGCCCACTCACCCGGACCCAGACTTTTCCTGTTATTTTTACTTCTTATGACAAACACACTTACGGACACTAGAGACACACAGACTTGAAAATTTAGATAAAGTGACGCTATTATCATTAAGGTGGCTTATTCAAAAGTAAGATTAGGCAACTTATTTACACATTGAAACAGGAACATTTGCCATTGAACTCCAAGGCCCTTTGTGCTTCAGCACCCCCCCTACTTCTCTTCCCCTTTCGCTGTTCTAGGAGCTGATGGGAGACAGGAGAGGTGAGACGCAGAGCAGAATGCTCAGGAAATGAGCAAGGATGGCAGGCCAAAGGACAGAGAGCCACTGACTTCTGAATACTTTTGTGTATGTATTTATAAGAACGACTCTTCTGGGAGCCAGCCTACTCGCTCCCGCCCCAGGCCTACCACATTCCCTGCGGTAATAGCGCCTAAAAATGCCCAGCGCCTCCCTACTCCCCCCTCCGCAGTTTTACTCCCCTGGACAAGCCCGTCTCCATGTGCTCGTTTTACTCCTTTCTTCCTTCTACAGCACGTGTGTTCTTGTAAGGCCTGTGCTAATTTTGTCTCTCTCTCCTTGCTAAGGCTGCCTCTTCTGGTCCCATAGCTTCCATTATCATTTGTTTGGTAATAATTCTTGAAGTTTCTATCTCTGGTCCTGGTACCTCTCTTAAATTCCTGATATGAACCTCTAATATACCTGGGAAGAAAGAGCTCCTACTCCCCACCTTCCAAAAACCAATCTGTTCTTCTGCTCATGTTCCCAGTAATGTTTGTTGATGGCATTGCCATCCCAGCTCCTGGGAGCCCTGGAGTCTCCCTTCTCCCTCTAAACTATAATAAAACTTTTCGTACTTCTACCCTGGGTGTCCTGAATCCATTTCCATTCCTACCAGCTCAGCTCACACTCGTGTTCTCTCTGACCGAGGCTTACTCATGACTCACTACCGCCAATTCATTTCCCTTTAGGCCACCCATTCACAGTGTGGGGACAGTCACGTAACTCATGTTGTGTCAACTCCTCACTCAAAAACACAGGGGGCTGCTGTCTCTTCACAAAACAGTCTAACCCTCTGAGCCTTATCCTTCAAGCCCCTCCACGGCCCAGCCCCGTCCACCTTTCCAACTTCTCCTGGCCATTCGAGTATTGCTAGACTACTCACATCCTGTGTTCACATGCCTTCCTTCGGCTACTTCCTCTCTGTGCCATGCCTTTTGTTTTATTTCCCACATTTGAAAGATCTCTCATTTCCAAGGCCCAGTCAAATATTACTTCCTGTATGAAGCCTTAACTGATTTCCATTACAGAAGACTATGTCAGTGGCTTCCTCCTCTGTGCTTCCATACTCCTTCCTTATACCTCCATGTCCCAATTACTCTGCCTTATCTTATGCTTAGTTGTATTATGTGTTTATGCCCTCCACTAGTGAGTAAATGGGGGGACGACAGCTGGATTTACCTGTTTCCACGCAGTGCTTTCACACAAAGCAGGACTCAAGAAAGGGTCACTGAATGAAATGGCAATAAAATCAGGCCAAGCCTCCTGTCACTTTCTGGCTCTCAGAGCCTTCTCATCCTTATAAAGGCAGCCAGCCAGCCACTGGCTAGAGTCTCTACCTCTTAGCCCTCCTGCCTACGGTTCTAAAATTAATGTAATGATCACAGGGGGCTTAGAGGTCAGAGCCACCATTAGAAACATTTACATCGACTCCCATAAGAAATCGAATATTCTCTTTCATCAATGGGAAATAAATATCACTTCTGCTAATTCTTCCTTGACCTCCCACAGGAAATATCGTCCACCTTCTCTGTACTCCCCTATTACTTTGTATTTCTCCCCTATTCTGGTTATTTCCACCTATATATATCCTATTCTTCTAGCTCCTGAAAAACACACAGTCTCTCTAGTTCCTTAAGAATACCTTACTCACCTCTCACTCTGTCTGATTACCCAGTATAATAGTGTTTATTTTATTTTTAAAGATTTTATTCATTTGACAGACAGAGATCACAAGTAGGCAGAGAGGCAGGCAGAGAGAGAGAGGAGGAAGCAGGCTCCCCGGGGAGCAGAGAGCCCGATGTGGGGCTCGATCTCAGGACCCTGAGACCATGACCTGCGCCGAAGGCAGAGGCTTCACCCACTGAGCCACTCAGGCGCCCCACTAGTGTTTAAACACAACAGGGTCCTACTAAATGTCAACTATGAGTGCAACTGCACTTAAAGCTCTACCAACCAACCTACAACTTTTGAAACCCAATATCTTTAATTTACTAAAGTCTGCATGCGCTGAACCCTGTTAATATTTCTCCTGTGAGATAGAGGACAGGTTGTTAAAAATCCTAACAAATGAGATTCAGCAAAGCAGATGTCTTTGAGAATTTTCTAGAAAGAGGACCCTTAGTTGTTTTGTTTTAATTGGCTTGCGCACCTCCTCCTCAGGTCCTCTTCCACGGCTGGCCCTCCTCTGTTCCACGTGGAAGATACGTGGAGATGGCGTCTGTCATAACAGAAGCATGCTGACGTTGGTGGAACTGCTTAGCAAAGTCCAGAGGAGAGAATCATGGAGTTTTTTGTATTTTGAATGGACAACACGACAAGCGAAGCAATTAAGTAAAAGCAGTAGGTTTTAAATTTTCCCAATAAACAGCTTTAAAATATACAGGACCATGGATACTCTACCTACAATTAGCAACCATTTAACCCATTTAGTCTGCTGGGGAAGGGAAGGCACAAACTTAATGGCATGAGCGTGTTTATTCCAGCTGGCAAACAGGAAATCTTTACAAAGGAAACACTCTCAAAAGGAACCATTTCCAGTGGCAGCTACGAGCTTAGATTGCTAGGAGGCGTTAAGATGAGAAATGACTGCTCAAGAATGAACCATACGCTCCAGGTCCGACAACTGCTGGCATCCACATCTGGGGACGCACCTGCTTCGACGGCACGTCACAACCCGGGGGCTCGCTCAACAGCTACACCGATGACCAACAGCAAGATTTCAGCAAGATTCAACAACAACCGCCCCCCGCCCCGCCACACACACACCTGCTTGCCCTTGTTTCCTAGTACACATCAAGCAGAAACCCTCTAGTCTCGCAAACCTGTCAAGGGGTCCCCCGTAACCGTACCACATGTTGTTCCCACTCCTAACTGCACATTTATGCAAAATCCGCCTCTCCTTGCCTGCTAGGACACTTCCTCTTTTCCCATTAAAGCCAGCTTCCTCCGATGAGTGACCCTGGGGTATCTTTAATGGACCAAACCTCACGGAATACGGACCCCCCCCCCCAACACAGATCACTGTAACTTCACAGCTTCACCGAAAGCGACTGCGGCTGCACCTTCCCCGTTAGTGCCTCCTCCCACGGCTTCCCATGTGACCTCAGAATGGCTGTATGTCTTATGGGGTACAGCTCTGGCCAGCCCACTGTCCATTCGCCGATAATGTAACTTACTTTCCGAAAATTTAAGTGACTGATGTGGGGAAAGCTCAAGTTATTAACATACTAAGTCCGGAACTCATTTTGAAAGTTTAGTTCCTTCTAATGCACAACACACTCCAGGGACTGAACCACTGGAACGGGAAGGACACCTCCTCCTTACTCTTCTGGCTGCTTACCTTCGAGGGGCATTTTAAGAAGATTGGAAGGAAAAAACGAAAGCAGCTGAAACGCAAACCAATCTGTTTTGGGTTCTGTTGGTAATTTCGGGAAGTAACTCCCCACTGCTGGGTTGTTGTGGAGGCGGGAAGGGGCAGGTGGGGACACACTCTCCCCCTTGCCCCACACATGGACTGTTTTTACTCAGACTGTTCTTCTCTAGCCTCATTGAGATAAATGTCATATTCCATTAAAGGACCCAGTTAAGATGTACTGTTCAGTGGCTTTTAATATTTTCATAGAGTTGTACAACCATTACCTCAATTGATTTTAGAACATTTTCATCACCCAAAAAGAACCCTGTACCCATCAGCAGTCAATCTTCATTTCTCCCCCAACTCTCCCACCAATGAGCGCAGCCCCAAGCCATCACTAATCAGCTTTCTGTCTCCACGGATTTGCTTATGCTGGACATTTTTTCTTTCTTTTTTTTTTTTTTTAAGATTTTATTTATTTATTTGACAGAGATTACAAGTAGGCAGAGAGGCAGTCAGAGAGAGGAGGAAGCAGGCTCCCTGCTGAGCAGAGAGCCCTATGCGGGGCTCGATCCCAGGACCCCGGGATCATGACCCGAGCCGAAGGCAGAAGCTTTAACCCACTGAGCCACCCAGGCGCCCCCGCTGGACATTTTCTATAAAAGGGATCATACAATACGTGGACTCTGTGTTCCTTAGCTTAATGCTCTCAAAGCTCATCCATGTGTTATCATCCATCAATCAGTGCTTTGCTCTTTTCTTTACCACCGAGTGATATTCCGTGGCATGGTTATACTGTGTTTTATTTATCCACTCACCAGTTGATAATTTCCACTATTCAGTACCATGAATAATGCTGCTATGAGCATTCTTATATGTTTTTTGTGAGTGTATGTTTTCATTTCTTAGGGTTGTGTGTGTGTGTGTGTGTGTGTGTATGTGGGTGTGTGTATATATATATATATATATATATATATGGTGACTTATACCATATGTATATATATCTATCCTTACGGGTGTGTGTGTGTGTG